GCCTATCAGAATTCAAGATTCATGAAGTTATAGTAATTAATGTAATTATTAAATAGTGGCAAGAGGATAGAAAACTAGATCAGTAGCATAAAATAAAGAGCCTAGAAATAGACCCATGCTTACACGGAAACTTAATATATAAGAGAGATTGCAGAGACTATTTGATGCCCACTGGCAGCTACTGGACCAATTAGGTTTTAGCAGCAGAGACATTTTTCTTTCACTCAATATGTTAAACACATAAGAAAAGTTTGATCGTGATATGTAATAAATTAATAAAGTCATTTCTGCTTTCTAAATTCATGAGTTGCTTAATTATTCCCAAAAGCTGAAATCACAGTTCAATTTATGCATGCAAATTTACCAAAGAAATGCTCCGCTTTTTAATCATACTCCCAAACTTCACAAATAACTTAGAATTGTAGCCACATATTGCATTGCATAACAAATGAAGTAATGAAAAAGAGCATATCAATTTATATCTTGTATTGATAGCTTATCATAAAACGGATTAAGTATCAATCATTTTACTTCGATGTGGCTGCTTTTAGGAAACTATCAAGATGTGTTCTATATTTTATTGATTGGGTTTTAAAATAATATTCCTCAAAAAAATGAATCCAAACATTACAATGCATTTCTTGAATGTAAAAATAAATAATTCCCTAACTAAAAATAGGGATATACATAAAATCAAAATTATTTTGGAATATTTATATCCCAATATTTGGAATAATGATATATAGTATGTAATTGTGTGATGCAGCTCATATCCTCATCTGAATCATTTAATAGAATTTTCATCTTAAAACTAAGGTAGTGAAAGTCTACTGTTTGGTATAAAAAATTTTAATTAGGTGTGTTTTAGCAACTTGACCTCAGTTTCAATATGCCATTGTTACTGTCTAGTCAGATTTGCCATTGTGTACAATTTACATTTTTGAAAATTTACAAGCCTATAGATGAATTTCTAATAAATAGAAAATGGGGATGTTAAATAAAATAGAGATGAGAATTTCCTGGGATACAGTAAGGTAGCAGATGCATTTTTCAACGAAACAGACTCCAGACATGTTACAAATATAGGAAAGTTTTTCAACTTCACAAAATCCAAGAACAACCAAATCAATGCTGAGTCCAATATGCCATCTCTATAGCAAAGTCATTGATTTACAAAACCATCTAGTGAGCAAAAGCATCGATTTATAAAAACAGCCACTAAAAATACACTCACTTTTTATTGATATAATTAGCTTATAACATATTAGTTTCAGGTGTACAACATAATGATTCTATGTTTGTAAACTTTACGAAATGATCACAATAAGTCGTTATCATCCATCAACACTACAAAAATTTTTTTTCTTCTGATGAGCATTTATAAGGTCTACTCTCTTAGCAACTTTCAAATATACAATTCAGTATTATTTACTGTAGTCACCATGCTGTATACTACATCCCCTTTACTTATTTGGAAGTTTGTACCTTTTGACCTCCTTCACTCATTTCACCCAACCTCCCACAGCTGCTTCTAGCAACCACTAATCTGTTCTCTGTATCTATGAGTTCAGTTTTTTTTTAAATTCCACATACAAGTGAGATTATATGTATTTTTCTCCCTCTGTCTGNCCTTTGGGGGTCGAACGACCCTTTCACAGGAGTCACCTAAGACCATCGGAAAACAAAAGATACTTACATTACGATTCATAACAGTAGCAAAATTATAGAGTAGCAACGAAAATAATTTTATGGTTGGGGGTCACCACAACATGAGGAACTATTAAGGGGTCGTGGCATTAGGAAGGTTGAGAACCGCTGGTCTAGACTTTCTAGGACAGTCCTGAAGCCAGCTAGCCAGGCTAATTGTCCCTGCTGGGCTATCCATACTTGTCAGACCTCAGGTCCTCATTTGGGGTTCGGATCAAATGGTATTTACACCAATCTGGGACCATTCCCCACTCACCTTAAGAAGGAGCTGTGGGGTGGGGTAAAGAGGACTGAGCAGGGGTCCAGGACCACCCCCCTAACTCAGGAGGACGTGCCCCCTTTGAAAAGCCTCACTCTGGAAGCTCCCTACCTGTGGCAGAAACCAAGGGGCCTCTTTCCCAGAGAGCTTTGCTCCAGCCAGGTCCTCCTGGCTCCTGGGTGTCTGAACCAGCTCAGGAGGGACAGCAGAGGGGACAAGGCAGGGAGAGAGGCAAGAACAGAAGGAGGGAGAGGAAGCAGCCTTGGTGCCACCTGCCTCTCATCATCATTTGGGCCTTTAGGGCTATAGGCTCTGAGTTTTCTTTCTCCCAAGCTGCAGCAAGCAAAAGCTGATTGAAGTGAAAGGAGGCATTTCTTGGTGATAAGGCATGTTAAGAAGCACCCTGCCCAGAAACTGAGAGGCTTAGAAGCTGGTGTTCTTTGGGGTCTCCAAGAAGGGACTCAGGGCTTCTTTGTGGGTTGCACAGGTGAGCCTGGAGGCAGGGACTAAGTGGATGGCCTCTCACTCTCCGAGATGTGCAGATTCTGAAAGTGGGCATTGCCAGGGCTGGATTCCCCACAGGCTGTGGGCCACACAGGGGAACACTTGAAAACAAGACAAAACATTTGAGGGAATTTGATATTTCATTTTTTAAACAGCTTTACCGAGGTGTAATGGACATAAGTTGCATTTATGGTACATTTTAAAAGAGTACCATTTGACATACGTATATGCCCATGAAACCATCACCACAGTCAAGATAATGAACCTGTCCCATTACCCCTAAAAGTTTCCTAATGCCCCTTGGTAATGTCTCCCCCCCTGCTCCTTCTCACCCACCCCCACTAGCCCAGGCAATATAATAACTATATAGAGCATCCTTACACTTACTTTATGATTTTGCATGTCTATTTTGGGACCAATATGGGGAAGGAAGACAGGTGGCGTCAACATCATGTTTTCAGGGCTTGAGGCCTCGAAAGATCTTAACCCAGCTGCCCTGGGTGTGAAATACGGCTCCATGTTTTATACCATGAAATAAACCTGTTTTTCTTCCCCCTTGATCCTGCAGCAAAAGAAGTGTGGCCTCTGCCCACTTGGCCCTCCATGAGGCCCACTGCCTGCTGTCCCTGGTCCTCTGTCCAGAGTGCAAGGAGCCCGTCTCACCGGAGAAGATGGACGAGCACCGCGAGAACAGGCACCAGCAGGTGAGGAGGTTGACGGAGGGACAGAAGTGGGGGCACCGTCGGGTCCTTACTGCAGCAACCGGCTTGGCTGCCTTGGGCATGTCATTTAGCCCTTGCACACCTCCACCCCCCTCTGCAAAGTGGACACAGTAATTCTGCCTTTCTCATACTAAACTGAGTCTACCCCCGTTTTTCCCATTCCCACCCCTTTCCCTACAGGCTCATGGGTTTGGCTGAGGCAAGGGGTCCCAGTTTCAGGAAAGGCTGAATGTTCTTTTGAGATTTGTAAAGAGGGGAAGCAGGAAATGAAAGCTCTAGAAGGCAGTCACAGTCAAGGTCAGTCCAAATCTGACTTTTCTCACCTGCTCTTTCACGTCAATCCCTCATCTGTCTTTCTGGAGATCGTTAAACTCAGGCATCTGTTTCAACTCAGCGAGTACCCCAAACATGTCTTGAACACGGAGCTTGTGCCACAGGGAGACTGAGGTAACCACATCTGATCCCTGGCCCCTAGGAGCTCATAGACCCAATCCTGCAACACGTGAGCCAAGGCAGATGTGGAGGAAGGCCGCAGGTGCTGGGTGAGACCCAAGTTTCCCTCTGTGTGTTTAGGTCGGGTGTGCGATGTGCCAACAGAGCGTGCAGAAGCACTTGCTGGAGTTGCACGAGGTGAGAGTCAAGTGTGATTCATCCTTTACAGCCAAGCAGCCAACCTGGGAGGAGGAGGAGGGGAGAGAGCAGCCAGTAATAAAGACTTCCACCTGACCTCTCTCCTCACCCAAGTCGGCTTGGGGAGCAATGGAGAACAAGCCGACCATAGGGACATAGAGCCTCCTGTCCTCCAAGTTCTGCTCAGAAGGGCTTGCCATGGTCCATGAGCCCAAGACAGCTCGAATCCCCTGAAGAGAGTCTCTATCCTGGCCCTTCCCATCTGCTTTCTTATTGGCTTCAACCCCCAAGAAAATAAGTTCATATCTCCAACAGGGCTGCAGTGGCCGCAGGCCAGAGACCACGCCCATCCTGCCTGCCTCCCTGCAGATGAAGGAATGGCTGGAGCGCCCTGTTGAGTGTAAGTTCTGTGAGGCAGCCGTGCGCTTCAGCAAGCTGGACATCCACGAGCACAACTGTGGCACCCGGACAGAGCTCTGCCCAGACTGCGGCCAGCTCATCATGCTCCGACTGCGGGCCCAGCACAAAGATGTGTGTCGGAATGAGCAGGCCCAGCTCGGGAGAGGTGAGCAGTGCATGCTGGGAGGAAAAGGGAAGCTTCAAGGAAAGGGAGCCTCTCTGGATGGGATGCAAGGCATGTAGGCAGGCGCTCAAGAGCACAGATGGCGGGTGTGTAAGACAGATGGCTAATGTAGTTCTAGACCGTGTACTAGACTGGCTTTCTTGTGTGTCTGCCGTGAGCTTCAAATGACTGGTCCAGGGAGACCAAGAGGCAGGGGGTGGGGGCCTGAAAGCCACACAGATGGGTGTAGAGGCAATGGGGGCCCTACCAAGTAGGAGGCTTCCTTGCAACTCCTTCAGCACGATCCTAGCCTGGCGGACATCCACCCACATCCTCTTACGGATGAGAAACTCATACGCAGAATGGAGCAGGGTTTGCAAGAAGCAGAAATAAAGCTGGACACCCAAGTTTCCCGACAGCAAATCTGCAGCTGTTTCCACCAGCAGCAGAGGACTGAAGTAAATGAGCTGTAGCTCCTGACCTTTGGGCCATTTCATGTTCTCTGGAGCCAGCTACCTCTTGTGAGTTGTGTTCACAGAAGACACAAGCTGTCAATCTGACAGATCTTCTGTTGACTTCACTGGTGGTTTTAGTAATGCGGGAACATGTGGAGAGAGCCTAAAACCCCTTGAACAGTAAATCTCTCCTGGTAAACCATCTACCCCAGGTCCAAACTGGCAAAGGAAAACCTGGAGTGCTTGACGTTTGTGTGCATTTCCTTCATTCCAGCATGGCTGGGCTTTAACACAACTCACACACCTTCATCAATATAACCCAACTTCACCAAGACCACACAGCACAACCCAATCAACAAAGATAGGTACAATAACACCTCGCTTCATCCCAGAGCTCAGCAATTGTTGAAATGATTGGAGGGGATTGGCATCTATGGTAACGGCTCCCCTCGTCTCCTTAGAAACCAGTCCTGCTCCAGGAAAATGTCTCTTCATTAGGGCCCCGTGCTGCCCTGAGTGAACCTGTGTGACCATACAGGAAATGATGTGGGTGATTCAGCCAAGGGCTGCCTGTGTGGCTGAAAATACTGGCAGTACAGGATACTCATGGCCAAGCTGGCCCGGGACAGTTCATACTTAGGACTAGAGGTCATGTACGCAGTTGTGGCACAGCTGGGCTAGCTTGTCAAAAGCAATCATTTGTGGTGTTGTTTCTGTGTTCATTCAGGGGAGAAAATTTCAGCTGCTGACGTCAGTATCTACTGTCTTTACTGCAAACAAATGATCCCAGGAAATGAGTATTTACAGCATACGGTGAGTAGCAATTCGTCGTTTTCTAATGGTGCTCATAGCTTGTCCATATTCCAAAAAGCGTGGTAGGAAAGGTAGATTCAGGGTCCAATTTTACATAGCATGGATATTAGAGGGTCTCTTATTTATTTTTGTTTTGCTCAAAATGGGATGTTGTGGATTCCTTCAGGCTAATTTACCATACATAATGGGTCTCCAACTTGTGCCAGCCCTTCAAGGAGCCTCTCTGACCAGTCCAGCTATCCCTGGTCACCTCTGAACATCTTCAACCTTCAGGGCCATTTGGTCTTCAATAGGACCTGCCTTATGATGTTCTGTCCCCTGTGGGAGTCTTGTCCATTAGACGGTGAGCTCTTTTGCAAGAGTGAATGACTTTCTCCATCTTCCTCCAATGAAGCTGATCTCAGGGCTGGGTACCAAAGCGGGGGACTCTGTAGAGGTGTAAGGATGTGATTGATGATTGATTGATTTTGCCTGGAAACGCTCACCGACTCTTCCTTCCATAGCGCTAAGCACCTTTTGGTGCATGAGCTGTGCCAAGCCACTCCCCTTCTTTGCAGGATGAAGCATTTCCTCTCTGGGGAAACTTAACCAAGGCTTCTCTCCAAGGAACTCATGTCCTTCTCCTTGAGCGGAGAGCTGTTTAACCCTTTCTTGCCCCTTCAATTCAGAGAACTGTGACTGTCAGAACTAAAGAAACCCTAGGGTGATCTAGATCTTTTGTTGCTTATTGTGGTAAAATACACAACAAAATTTATCATTAGTAACATTTAGTACATTGACAGTATTGTGCGCCATCCCTTCTGTCTCACTCCAGAACATTTTCACCAGGCACCCTTAAGCAGTCACTCCCCACTCCTCTCTCTTACAGTCCCTGGCAACCGCTCATCTGCTTTCTGTCTCTGTGGATTTGCCTATTCTGGACGTTTCATATAAAGGGGATGCTATAATATGTGGTCTTACATGATGGGCTTCTTTCTCTTAGCGTAAAGTTTTCAAGGTGCATCCATGTTGTCGCCTGTGTCACTGCTTCATCCTTTTAGGGCCTTTATGGTCATACTACCCTTTGTCTATTTGTCTATGGATAGACATTTGGGTCACTTCCACCTTGCAGCTCCATGCTTTTTGAAATGTGGTCTGTGGACCAGCAGCATCAGAATTATCTAGGAGCTTGTTAGAAATGAAGAATCTCGGGCCCTCCCCCTAGAAATGCTAAATCAGAATATGCAATTTCCCAACATCCCTAGTGTTTCAAGTTTGAGAGGCACTGAACCCAGACAAGTGATTTGTAGTCTTAGTTGCACATTGAAATCTCCTATGCATTTGTTTCCCTTAATATTGATGCTTATTCTATATATTACATAAGTGGTCCATGTCTTTCCTTTAAATCAGAAGATACTTCTGGTGAGCATATCTCTCTCTCTCCCTCCCTCTCTCCCTCCCCTAACATGACCCAAAACCAGGAAAACAAAGAATACTTTTCTCAATCTCATTTCCTGCCATTTGCCAACTTTCTTTGTTTCCTTTTGTAGCAAAATGTTTAAACAAGTTATCTGTAGTCACTGTGTCCATTTCTTCTTCACCCACTCCAGTATGGCTTTTGTGTCTGACCCCCCAACCCAACCCAACCCAAAACTGCTCTCTTCAAAATCGTTAATGACCTTCTTCACATGGCTAAATCCAATGGTCAGTTCTCAGTCCTCAATTTATGAGAACACTGTTCATCATACTCTCTTCTTCAATCCACTATTCAATTCACTTCTTTAATTCGCCTCTTTCTTGGCTTCCAGAATGTCCTGCTCTCCTGGTTTTCAATTACCTCACTGGTTTCGCCTCCTCTTGCTTCCAAAGCTTTTAATTGGGGGGAAGGAGGGAGGGGGAGCAGGGGATAGAGTTCAGTCTCTGTACTCTTCACTACCTATACTCACTGCCCCAATAATTTCATCAAATCTCATGATTTTTAAAAACGCCTTATGTAAGCAGACGCTCCCAAACCTATATCCCATTCCAGATTTTCTCCCAAACTCCACACTTATATATTACTGCCTACTCCACATCTTCATTTGAATGTTTTATAACCAACCTATTTAAAATTGTAGCCCCCTCCCCATCCCACAGTCACCATCCCCCTTACCATTCTCTACTGTTTTTGTTTCCATGTCATTTATCAACTTCTAACATATTATCTAATTTACTTCTTTATTGTAGTCCTTGTTAATTGTCTCCTACCACCCTGGTTAAAATACAAGCTCCACAGCTCCCCTGCTTGTTAATTGCTCCCAAGTCACAAATACTCTACTTTCTAACTCTTTGAGCTATTTCTTCTGGTATTTATTTCCATAATTCTCATACTGCCATTCCTTTTTTTCAATTTTAGATATTATCTATTAATTCATAAGGCTTTAAGGATATGGATTTTGCTTTATTACACCATCTATCCTACACACGTCTCCAAGTTTCTTTTCTCCATCCTCCCAATTTATTGATGTCGCCCATTCTGGTTAAATTAATAATCAGTGTTATATTATTATGCCCATGTAATATTATAAATGGCTATGCCACACTATGATTACATTTGCTTTCTTCTACAACTTTTTGTTTTCCCTGGAGCTAATAATGACTCCAATAAAAATTGGAGTCAATTTTTCATTTGCTTCACTTTCTAGGTACCTATCACTAAATCATTCCTAAAACTTTCTACCATATCTGAAAGTTTCCCCCTCAATACATTGGAACACATCAGGTATTCTACTCAATTCATTTTGGGGGCATGTGGCTCCCCAGGCCTGATGAGTAAGCTGTCATTCTGAGAATTTCTTCCACTCTCCTCAGTGTTGCAGGTATTTCCCAAATTTTAGGTTCAGGTCTTTTTCTTTCTTGGTTTACTTCTTCTTTGGTAAAATATACCCTTGAATAGTTTCTTGAGGACTACAGCATTAGATGCTAATTTTTTTTAGGTCTTACTTAAATGTCTGAAGATGATACTTTAGATGGCTGTAGAATTTATCTACCATTTTAATTATTTAAATGGTGTTACAAAATTTTTTTAAGCAAATACAAATGTAGGGAACAAATATAATAAACCCCCATGTAGTCATCACCCAGATATATCAATAATCAAAAGTTTTCAACGTTTGCTTCATCTATCCTTTTTCTCTTTTCGTTTTGGATTTTTCTAAGTATTTTAAAGCAAATCCAACATATCCCGTCATTTTGTCCATCATTCTTTAATATACACCTTAAAAATACAGTCATTTCCTTACTTAACTACAATGCCTTTATAATTCTCAACAATATTAACAAGAATTCTTTTCTACTATCTTTTTTGGGCATTCCATTTACCATGCTTGTTCATTACTGCTGCTGCTGCTGCTGCTTTCTTCTCTCTTGCCTTCTATTGGATTGAACAAATTTTCTTCTTCTGATTTGAAATTTTGCATTCTATTGCTCTCATTTTTGCAGTTACCCTTAACATTTTAATACTTGACTTCATAAAGTCTAAAATTAACCGTATTCTCTACCCTTCTTACAAACAATATGTGGATTTGAGAACACGTTAACTCTGATGCTCTACTCCCACCTTATATGTAATACTGCCAGAATCATTTGGTTCCACCTAATTTTCACACTACCCCTCTCTAGTCATTATTATTATCATTGTTTTATACAATTTATGCCTGTTTGGATATAATTTCATGTTAACCTTTTTCTTTGCTCACATTCTTTCTTGAATCCTAAGCTTTCATTCTGGGGAAGATTTCTCTCTTTCTGAAATACACTTCTTAGTTCCTCTGCAAGAATCTATGAGTAGCAAATCTTTAGTTGCCCAAACATGTACTTCTTTTTTCTTCATACTTGGATGGTAGTTTAGCTGGATATCAAATTCTAGGTTAACAGTTATTTTCTCTTAGCATCTTGAACTATTCCACCATCTGCTCACCTCTGTGATTGCTGTTGATAATCTTTCCATGTAATTGTCTGCTTTCTGTGCAACTGTCTTTCCTTTGTAGATAATATTTTTCTTTGGATGATTTCAAGATCCTCTTTGCCTTTGATCTTCTGTGGTTTCACCACAATGTATCTAAGGATTTATTTACACTCATACCGCTCAGAACAATGTGTTCAGATGTGTTTACTTTTTTTCTCTCTTCCTCAGGATTTCTCCTACCTGAATCTAAAGATTTATGTTCTTAATCAGTTGAGATAAAGTCTCAGTTCTCATCTCTGTGGATCCTCAATAGTATCTAACCTTTCCATGTTCTCCCAACTCTTTCTGTGGAACATAGCAGATATATATTAGGCCTTCTCACTCATGTCTCCTAACCTTTCACATTTTCTATTTCTCTCTCCTATATTCTGGGTAATTTCCTTAAATCTATCTTCAAGTTCATTCTTTCTTGGCCAAATCTAATCTGCTGTTTTTAGCACATCCATTGAGATTCAATGCCTATATTTTTCATTTCTAGTTCTATTTCATCTCTTTCAAATTTGCCTACTCTTTTTTTCATGGGACCTTTTCTTTTTTCTTGTTTTATTCATCTTTAATTAATTTATTTTACAGTCTCTATCCTATAGTTCTATTATCTGAACTTCTTGGAGACTAATCTTGTTATTGGTTGTATCTATTACTCTTACTCAAGGTAGAGTGCTTCTTTGTGTATTTGTAAGTTTGAATTGTGAATTTCTATTTGGTGGAATATTACCTGTGAAAAATCTGTATGACCTAGTTTGAAGCTATATACCTTGCAGAGGGATTTTGTAATTGCTTCTGCCATACTTTCCAATGTTTATGTTACTTCTGCCGCTTCGGTATTCCCAGACCATGAGGCTAATGTAAATCTGAGTCCCAAACACAAGAATGGCACGGACCTGTGATTTTTGAGTTTTCAGAAACATCAGTTTTTCTTCCCTGTACGACCTTACCACTTTTCTTCTCCAATTAGCTGATTCTTTTCTGTTAGACACCATAGTTTAGCCTTCAAGATTCCACAGGGAAAGGAGAGTCTTACCTCCAATTCTCCACCTTATGTGGATGGGATTTTTCTCTTATCCAAACCCATAGGTGCAAGATTGACCCCACATCGCCTTCCAAAATGTCAGCTTATGTGCTTAACAGGTCAAGTCTTCCTTCCTGGAACACGGAGCTTTGTTTCTTGCTTACAAAGTCAGCTATCAACTTAAATGAATTTTTGTCATATTTTATCCAGCATTTCTAAATGTCCATAGTGGAAAGTTTTCAGATTATCTAGTCTATTGTATTGTCTAACCATTAATGTCAAAGTCATTCTTAAATTTGATATATTACTCACAATTGCAGTATAAATGTCGTATAGTCTCAGAATCTACAAAGTATTTTCCAACTGGAGAGCCAGGAATTTCTTCTCCATCCCTTCCAAGTCAGACTGCTAAAGATCAAACTTCCACAGCAGAAAAAGATGTCCGTCCAAAGATGAAAAATACAAACAGATTCCGTCGTCTTTATGAAAATTCGACAAAGCAAGCACCAAGTGGCACAAACGAAACCATGGATCTGCCTCTGAAGTCTGAGCACAAGCCCCGGCTCACCTCTTCTGTAGAAGATGAGACAGCCTATGACATCCTGAAGAGATGTTCTCAATGTGGTATCCTACTTCCCCTGCCGACCCTAAACCAGCATCAGGTACCCAGCCTCTGTTCTCTCCTTACCTGGCTATGAACCAGCTGGACAGAGATTAGAGAAATCCAAGCCCTGCAGGGTGTTCACAGACATTGCCATTGGAAAGGCCCTTCCCTATCTCCCCCTTCTCTGTGTGCCCAAATTTATTCTTTCATAGTGTTTACCACCTGGTTTATTTGCATCATCTCCCAGAGACTAAGACACCTTTGAAGGTAGGGCCAGATCTTTCATCTCTGTGCCTCCAGTTCCTGGCCCAGAGGCTGACCAGAGCAAGTGCTCCAAAACTGTTGAGTTAACTGAATGAAGCAGAGGGCATCCAGTCTAGCTCTCTCATGGTGGAGATAAGGCAACTGAGGCCAGACATCAGAGCCTTGGCCAAGATCCTAAGTCAGTTGGTGTCTTGCCTTCAGCAGGTCAAGGTTTACTTCCAGCAGATCAGGATTTGTAGCCTCACTATTCTGATTTTTATATCCTAGATTATTTTCTACTAATAATAAGAATTAGCATTAGAGGTAGTTAACTATTAGATGCTAGTTACAATGCAAAGCTCTTTACAAATGGTTAATCTTCATTATAAACAACAGGCAGATATTTTATCCCTGTTTCACAGATAAAATGGACAGAAAGGTCTAGTAGCTTCCCCAGAATTATACAATTAAAGAGTGGCAGAATCCAGGCTGGGATCCACATGTATATAGTTCCAAAGTTTATGCTCTTAAGCTCCAGACTGAATGCCTCACTAAAAAATTAAAAGCTTTCATTATTTGTTGTTCTTCAAAATGTAAAAGTACTAGATTTTGTTGTAACCAATTGACATAATACCGTACAAAGAAATCCAAAGGCAAAGCTAATCATCCCCATTCTCATCCTAACCCCTCCCCAGTCCCATCCCTGAGATTCTACAAGCTGGTGGGTGTCCTTTCAAAGCTTTACCTTGGCTCACACAAACCTGAACAAGCCTACACAGGGTTTAAATTCTTTCTTTCCCCCATATATTATCTTCCTGTACTCATTACTCTACCATTTGCCTTTTTCACTTAATACATTATGCAAACTCCTTACAAAAAGGTAGACCTAAATCTTACTTTTCTAACTTTTTTATGCATCTATATATGCACATAAGCATACAATTTTACAAAAGTGGTTGGGTTTTGTACTTGCTGGGGGTGTTATTAGTGCCATATTCTCTTGCCTCCCACAATTTGTTGTTTCCTTCCATACTTTCCTCCATCCTTATATAATAGGGTTGCCAGATTTAGCAAATAAAAATACATTACTTGGGAGAAAAATAACTATAAAGTAACTTCATGGGACATACAAATACTAGAAAAAATTCTTGGTTTCTCTGAAATGAACATTTAACTGGACATCCTGTATTTTATCTGGCAACCCTATTATTGGATATAACCACATGCAAACATACACATTTGGAGTCCAATTATATACATTTCTTTACATCTTAAAGTTATTTTTTTTCCAGGTCCCTAACTTTTTTTTTTTTCCAATTACAGTTGACATTCAGTATTATTTTACATTAGTTTCAGGTGTACAGAATAGGGGCTAGACATTTACATAATTTGCATCTTAATGTTATAATTTAGTGATACCCAAGGACATCCCTCCAAGTCAAATGATTTTTTTTTAATGGCTGCATAAGAGTCCCTGGTGTGGGTGTTCTCTAATCTATCCATTCACCCCCACCCCCACCCCCATCCCCGAAGATGACAGGCCTCTAGTAAACATTGTCCCAAGCTCCCCATCGGCCCCTATTGGCTCACTGGGCTCCATGCCTTTTCCCTGACATTTGTAGCTCAGGGTTTATGCTCTGGGAACTGGAGATAGCAACATCCAGAGATATCCCTGGAACTTGGCACTTTAAACTCATTGAACTTTTTTTATATCCATTTCTTTAGGAGAAATGTTGGTGGTTAGCTTCATTGAAAGAAAAACAAGTGAGAAAACTCCAGCTAGAAAAGAAAAGGTACTACAGGTTTAGAAAACTGCCTTTTGGTGCTGGCTTTTCTGCTTGCTTTTTTTGTGGTCAGCTTTGCTTGTCAAAGATGAGTTGTCTTCCTTGGGTTTCTTTCCTGTGGAAGGAGAAGCTTGGATTTTAACTGTTTTCCTCCTTTTGAACAGCAGTGTTGGTTTACGCAAGAGCCACAGATAAGCCAAGAAAAAAAAAAAGCCGCCTCCAGCTCTTCTGCCTGAGAATTCTGATGAAGCATCTGGGCCCTTCAGCCCCGACAGCTGGGGGACCCCAGCTTTGTCCACTTTACATTCCCACCAGCACTGTACGGAGATTGAGTTTTCCCACAGTCCCTGGCCAGCATTTGGTGTTGTCATTATAATTTTTTCTACGTTTAGCTATTCTAATAGGTCTGTAGTCATATGTTATTGTGGTTTCAAATTGCATTTTCCTAATGTCTAACGATGTTGAACATCTTTTGATTTTCTTATTTGCCATATGAAATGTCTGATTGTTTTCTTTTACTGTGGAGTTTTGAGGTATACACATAGTCCCTGAAGAATAAAAACACACTCCCTGAAAGCTGCTCCGTCACCTTTAGATTCCTTGCTGGTTTTCCAGGGCAAGGGGTGGCAGCAGCTAGGACAGCAGGGTGAGGCGGCACACAAGGAAGGGGAAAGACAAAAAGGAAGGAAGGGGACAGAAGCGAGGCTGGGTGGTGGGCGAAGGCTGTATAAATGTCCTGGTGTGGGTGCTCTTTAATTTGCCCATCCACACCCCTGAAGATGACAGGCCTCTGTGAAACATTGTTCCCTAGTGACACCCAAAGGGGTGCCTTTGAAGGCTGTTGGTAGAGATAGCGACCGGGAGAAGCCTAGGTATGCAACCCGCAGACAGTACGCCCCTGCCCCTACCTTTCTGCCTGACCCTTGGGGAGACCCGTTAGGGCACCAGACCCTGCCTGGGAAGGGAAGGTGGGTTAGGTGCTCCCCATGGTCCCCAAACTAGAAAGGCGAGGCGGTTCTCAAGCTTTGTCATGTGGGGTGGGTCACGTTTGCTTAAGGCTTCCCTCTGGGGACCCTGAAGAGGGAAAGTGGAAGCCATGGCAGAACACGTGGCGATGGATTCCAAAGGAGAAACGCCCAAGCTGGGTCTCCTTGGACGCGATGGAACCCGGGACTGGGTCAGGGCAGGAAAGCCGGCGGCGGACTGAGCGGGCCTGACCCTAAGCTCGGGGCAGAATCTCTTCCTTGAACGAAGCGGGAAGGACAGGGGGAGTACCCATCCTCAACCCCTCCTGCCTCGCAGCCCCCGGCCTCGCGCTTTCCGGGCCATTGGCGCTCTGACCGGTCTTGCCCTCTACACGCACCCTTTGCTGACCTGGCACCCACAGGTGGCGGCGCGTCACAAAGGCAGCCCGGAGTTTAGCATTTAGCTTCTGCAAGGGTAGGGCACGGCCCCGGGAGGTCGCAGAGTTGGCGTCGGGGCAGAGGCAGCGCGGGCGAGGCGGGCAGGCGCACTCGCGGCCCCTACAGCCCTAGCGCCCGGCAGCTGCAGCGGGGCGCGGCTTGGAGGTAACAGGAGGACGCGGTAGCGGGGCTGGCGCAGGCCGGGGTGGCAGGACGCTCGGAGGCCTGCGCGGGGAGGGGTGGGCTGCCCTCCTCGCGGGCCTCCTTCTGGAAGCTTCACGGTCTCCTCCCCTCGCCCTGTGTGATAGGACATCCTTAGGTCTCCTTGCCCGGTGGGCAGCTCTGCAATAAAGTGGACCAAGCCTAGGTTTGAAAGTCCTTCAGATGGTTCGAATCCCACCTCCCCACTTACTACTTGCTCTCACTGGAAGGCTTTCTTAACCTTCCAACCCCTCTGTTTCCCCACTTGTAAAATGGGCGTGTTCATACATTCCACACAGGGATGTCGTCGAAGTACCTTGGCACCAACTTACTGAAGGCAGCAAGCACTTGTATAACATTTACTATGTGCCAGGCACTGACCTGGTGCTTTCCATATATCAGCTCATATTTAATCCTCCTAACATTAGGAGAAAGGTACTGTTGTTACCTCTATTTCCATATGTGGAGACTGAGGCACAAAGAATTTAGTTAGCCTAAGGTCACACAAAGCTGTTGACAGAACTTTCCCAGCCCACCACATATGTTCTTCCAAACACAACCTATGGCTTCCAGTGTCTGCTAATTCTTCTGACGAGTGACTTTGTTATTAGAGCAAAGGGTTTCCTTTAGCTTTCTAATTGGTTTACCTTCTCTTGAGCACCTTTTAGGCACCTTACTAAATGCTGTGGAGGCACTTGGGCAATCTATATATGATTGAAGAGACAATTGTGTTTCTTCATTTGTTAAACGATGAAGTACCTACAGAAGAAGAATGAAGCGGTCCCTAGTATCAAGGAGTATGTGTGTCCCATGGGAAAGAAAGGCTTGGATGCAGATCACACTGAGGGATGGACAGTGGCCAGAAGGGAAAGAGAGAGGCAGGCTGAGCAGAGAGGCAGTGACTCTGGAACCCACTGGAGCCCTGTGTCCTGGGTGGGGGCAGATGGCTGCCAGATCCCATGTGGAAGTGTCTGGATCTGGAGATGGGAGGGCCAGCTGGAGGCAAGAGCCCAATTGTGGGGTGGTGAGGACAAAGGCACAGAAGATCCCAAACAAAGTCTCCCCCAGGAGCTCTCTTACAACACTCATTGCCACTGTGGTGCTAATGCGAGCTGGAGGAGGCGTGCAGCCATCCGCAGAGAGAGTGGATAGAAAACGGGCGGAGACACCCACCTCAGGGATCTGTTCAGATGATGGATGCAGTGGGTGAGAGGTACTCAGAGTGAAATGAATGATGCTTACGAACACTATATACACATTTGGCAAGCACACACACAAACAAAAACACATCAAACATGCTGGAATCATTGCCTATGGTGGGGGTCAATGGAGCGAGACATAGGTAAAAGGGAATAAGTGACTAAATAAAACCAAAGAGAGGTCTTGCACAGACAAATGTCTGTCCTGAATTGATAAATATGATTAACTTGTCCTTAAGCACCTGAGGCCTACCACCTGTGGAGGTAAGAAAAAAGTACAGGAGAAAGAGTCAGAAAGCCAGGTTCTCCTCTGGGCCCTGTTACTAACTTGCTGTGTGACCTTAGGCAAGTCCCTTCACCTCTCTGGGTCTCAGTTTCCATCTGTAAAGAAATAAATTATCAGATCTTTTCTGGCTCTGAGTTTTTATGAGCCATGATCAATAATCTTGGGCCACTTGGTAAAGTAGACAATAAAAGCTTTATGGAGTGGTAGGGCTTGAACCTTGAAGAATGGGGGGTTTGGGAGAGGTAAAGAAAATGAGGGGAGTTTTCAGGCAGGAGAAACATTGAAAGCAAAAGTCATAAAGAATTCAGCATATGGCTGTAAAAAATCTGAGAGTTCAATGTATCAGGTGGGCCTTAGCCCATCTCTTCCTTGGGACTCCCTACTACCTGCAACCCAACAGCCAACTCAGAGACTTCGGGTTCTCCTCGGTTCTGCATTCCCCAGTCATGTCCTCCAAAGGACACATAACCCACCCTATCCCTGCTATGATGCCATCCTAGTCCCAGGTTTGAGCCTGGACTCTGCTCTGGTCCATCCTTCCTTCGCTCCCCAGAGTGTCCTTCCTATACTTCAACACTGACCGCATCACTCCAGACATGTGACCTTTAGAACTTCCCTGGCCCACTGTGACCTCAGCTGAGGTTCTCCACCCTTGTTCTCTGCTGCTTTGCCTTTTAAATGTCAGTGTAGCTCAACACAGACAGTGATTCTCATCCAGGGAAAGGGTCCAGCCAGGTCAGGATTCCAGAGTCTTGGGGAGAGAGGTGAGTGGGAATCTCTGGCCTCTGGGACACAACCTTTATCACATCATTCAGGGCCCCTTAATCCAGCATCCAGCACTTCCCACTGCGCCAGCTCCAGTTCCAGCACCCCCTGCCTCTGACAAATCAAGCTCCAAACCACTTGCAGTTCCCTGAATGCAAACATATCACATATGTTCACAGCTCTGCTTTGCCCACATTGTTCCCTCTGTGCGGAATGGATCAGTTCCTCCACCACCACTAGGCCAACCTTGCCTGCCTTGCAAATCCTACTCACCCTGCAAAGCCCAGCTCAGACATCACCTCCTCAGGGTAGCCCTCCCTACTTCCTCCTTACCCAGCCAGAATTAATCACCCCCCATTAGTGCTACCCTGCACCACGAGAGCATACCTGCACCTTTTCACGTCTCCCACCCTGCTGTAACTGAATGCTGGTCTGTGTCCCTGATAGGCCCTGATGGACTGTGACTCCTTGCATCATGGACTGTATGGTGCATTTATTATTGCACCACCTGCATCAGCACAGCACCTACTACACAGGGGCCTACAGCACAAATTCGTTCAATTGGGTTTAATTTCTGTTTGGCAGGTAATAGCTCTTCCTTTTTACTCCTCACAGAAAACGAGTGACTGCTTTCCTTTCCTCATTTTGGGAAGCCCTGCTTATCACACAGCTGCACTGGACATCGCAGTTTCTCGATGGATGAAGAAAGCCAACTGATTGAGCCCCAAGACCAGAGCTGCTGGGCCACTCTGCCCGATGTGTGCCTGCGTCGTGTTTTCTGGTGGCTGGGGGACAGGGACAGGTCCAGGGCAGCCCTTGTCTGCAGAAAGTGGAACCAGATCATGTATTCAGCTGACCTCTGGCGATATAGGAGCATCACATTCAGTGGGAGACCTTCCAGGGTACACGCGTCTGAATTCGAGTCAGCTCTTTGGTACGTTAAGAAATTTGGTCGTTACCTGGAGTACCTGGAGATCAAATTCCTGAATCCCTACAATGCTGTCTTGACCAGGAAGTTCCAGGTCACCATGCGAGGCCTTCTCTCGTGCTTGGGCAAGAATAACAACCGTCTGAAATCGCTTTCCATCCAGCACCTGGAGCTGGACCGCCTGGTCTGGAGGAACAGCATCAGGACCTCGTTCATCAAAAGCTTGACCTTCTTCTTAAAGAAAATTGGCAGACACCTGGATTATCTCAACCTGAAAGGGGCCCGGATGACCGTGGAGCAGGGCTGCCAAGTTCTCAACTCCCTGAGCTACCTGAAGAATGAGAGCATGACATCAGAGCTCAACCTCGAGGACTTCTTCAGCCACCACCTCGCTGTCTACAGCAGCCCCCAATTCAACAGGACCATGGCCACGTTTCGCAACCTGATATCCCTGACCCTGAACTACAGCTGCATCTCCGACGAGCTGCTCGAGAACTTGTGTGAGAACAATGCCGGTACCCTCTGGACCATGAACATCAAATGCCACATTCATGACCCCCATAGGCAGGTCATCTGGGGCATGTCCTGGGCCAACCTGGCCAGGCACACCACCAACTTGAAAGTGAACTTCTTCTTTGAGCGGGTCATGAAGTACGAGTGCTTGGTCCGGATCCTCTTACAGGAGATCCCGATCAGAAGCATCAGTCTGAGAAGCTGCTATTTCAGTGACCCAGACTGGTCAATGCGGCCCACTCTGCTGGATCTCCTGCCCACCTTTCGGCACACTCTGCA